AACAAAATAATTTATATTTGAAGAATTACAGTCAGAATACTCTTTAGAAGCCAGTATGGTGAGACTTTGTCTTATACTTTGGATATATTATCAGGAAGGACCAGATCCTGGAGCAGGACATCATGCTTGGTAAAGTGGAGGGTGAATGAGAAAGAATAAGACCCCCAATGAGATTGGCACAGTTTCAGCAGCAATGCACTTAAGCATAAAATGTTGTGATGCTTCCAGTCTTGCAGCAGCACACAGCCACCACAGTACTACAAACTGACAGACCAGTGGTGACATTAACATGTTAGAATATTGTTGTTGTTAAGTACCTTCAAGTGGACTCCAACTCATAATGACCCTGTATAGGGTTTCCGAAGGGCGGCTGGTGGGTTTGAACTGCTGACCTTGTGGTTCACAGTCCAGTGACGATCCTATATATAGTGCCACGTTAGTGCTATCTTTTAGCATTTTGTATATGTCTTCTCTCTGCCTTATTGGGTCCCTTTTAGTATCTGTTCATCTTAATATTTTTCTTTTTGCTCCTCACTTTCAATTGTCCTGTCTTCATTTTTATTGATTCTTTCTAATGCCTTTTAAAATATACTATGGAATCCTGTAGTAAAATTTAAGTTTAGGTATTGTACATTTTTGCTCCGAAATATCTACTTTTCTTTTTACAATTTCTGTATCTTTACTAATATTCTTTATTTGTTAATGCATTGTTCTCCTGATTTTCTTTAGCTACTTGTCTCCATTTTCCCTTAACTCTTTGAACATGCTTAGGATAATGACTTAACACTCTTTCTCTTTGTCTAGTAAGTCTAATGTCTGAGTTACCTCAGTTTTTTGGTTTTTATTTTAGTTTTTTATTTTTATGCAAATGAGCATGCTTTCCTGTTTCTTTATATGTTTTATAATTGTGTTGTTTTTGTTGAAAACTGGACATCTTAAATATTATAACATGGTAACAGGGGGTCAGACTCTTCTTCCCCAAGGTTTGCTGCTGTCACTTATTGAAGACTGTTGATACCTGTTTTTGTCTTTGTTTTTATTATTATTATTTACAGTTATCTTTCTAAGTTACTTTTGCAAAAGTGGACATGTGCCTCCTTGCCCCCAAATATGTGTTGTGAATCTTAACCCCTATATCTCTGATTACAAGCCTATTTGGGAATGGGTTTTCTTTATGTTAATGAAGTCATATTAGTCTGTTACATGCTGTCCAGTGGGTTCCAGCTCATACACACCCTGTATAGGGTTTCTGAGGAGGAGTTGATGGGTTTGGACATAATCAATTGTATTTGAAATATGAAAAGAACAGCTTGAGCAAGCAATGAACCAAGCAGTGAAGTAGGGGAAGATGGATACTATGCCAATGAATGCACTTCAATTGTGATAGATTATTAACAGAGTTAATTGTTCATGTAAAAACTTG